CTCGATCGGAAACCGCCCTAGGGCGGGGCGTGCGGTCGGCGGATACGCTGAAGCGAGCCCCGAGGGCCGCAGATCGCTGTGACGCGACCGGGGGGATCGCCGCGCGCCGCCGCGGGGGCTTGTGTTCGGCGGCCAGTTGGCGTCTTTTCGCGCCGGCATGAGCAATCGTCTTCCCAGTCACCGCCCGAGCCTGTGCCGCCGCCTCGCCGGCCGGCTGGTCGCGCGGCTGTCCAACCTGCATTGGATCGACGACCGCCTGGCCCGCTCGGCACAGTTCTACGGCGGCCATACCGGCCTGGTCCTCGACGTCTATGGCTTCCGCACGCTGATCAACCTGCGTGGCGAGAACCCGCGCTCGCGCTGGTACAACGCCGAGGTGGCGGCCTGCCGCGCGCGCGGCGTCGCGGTCTTCGACGTGCCGATCAACTCGCGCCGCCTGCCCCGCCGGGCCGAGCTGCAGGCCCTGCTGGCCGCCTTCGACGCCCTGACCGCGCCGGCGGTGATGAAGTGCTCGGGCGGGGCCGACCGCACCGGCCTGGCCGCCTTCCTCTACCTGGTCGACCGCCAGGGGCCCGAGAGCTTCGCGCTGGCGCGCCGGCAGCTCCGGGCCTGGCCCTATCTGCATCTTCCCAAGCCCCAGCAGCGCTGGATCCTGCAGTTCCTGGCCTACTGGCAGGACCAGCGCGGGCCGGAGATGCCCTTGCGCCGCTGGCTCGACGAGGTCTACGACGCCGGGGACTTTGCCGCCTGGCTGGACGCGCGCGGCAAGCGCAAGACCTATCGCAACGTTTGAGGGCCACCGTGGTGGGGCGCCCTTGCGCGCCGAGCAGGGGGCGGACCCGGCAGCGTGAGCGCGGTTGCGCCCTGGCCGCGGCGCGGCGATCGCGGTAGAGCTGGCGGGGTCCGCTCCACCGTCCCAGGCCGCCCATGGATGACTGGATCTTCTGGACGCTCGCCGCGGCGGCCTTCCAGACCCTCCGTTCGGCTCTGCAAAAGCGCCTGAGAGATGACCTCGGCACCCTGGGGTCGGCCTTCGCGCGCTTCGTCTACGCCTGGCCGCTGGCGGTGGCCTACCTGCTGGTCGCCGCCGAGCTGGCCGGGGTGAGCGCACCTGGCGTCAACGGCCGCTTCCTGGCCTACGCGGTGGCCGGCGGGCTGGCGCAGATCCTGGCGACGGTCTGCCTGATCGAGGCCTTCGGCTACCGCAACTTCGCCGTCGCCACGGCCTATTCCAAGACCGAGACGGTGCAGGCCGCGCTGTTCGGGATCGTCATCCTGGGCGACCGGCTGAGCCCGGCGGCGGGGCTCGGCATCGCGGTCAGCCTGGCCGGGGTTCTCGCCATCTCGCTGAAGCGCCAGCAGGCCGGCTGGCGCCAGCTCCTGACCGGCTGGGCCCAGCCCGCGGCCCTGCTGGGCATGGCCTCCGGCGCCGGCTTCGCCTTGTCCGCCGTCTGCTACCGCGCCGCCAGCCTGGCGCTGGAGCCGGTCGGCGCTACCGTGCAGGCGGCGACGACCCTGGCCTGGGTGCTGGGACTGCAGACCCTGGCCATGGGCGCCTGGATGGCCTGGCGGCGGCCCGCGCAGGCCCGCGCGGTGCTGCGAAGCTGGCGGGTCTCGGCCTGGGTCGGGCTCGCCGGCATGGCGGCCTCGGTCGGCTGGTTCACCGCTATGACCCTGGAAAATGCCGCCTACGTGCGGGCCCTGGGGCAGGTCGAGCTGGTCTTCACCCTCGCGGCCTCCTGGCTGGCCTTCAAGGAGCGCTCGACGCCCGGCGAGCTGCTGGGCATTGCGGCCGTGGTCGGCGGCTTGCTGATCCTGGTCGGCGGGACGGTCTGAGGCGCGGACCAGGCTGCCGCCCGGACGGAGCCAGGCAGCGACAAAACCACAAATGGCAATTCCAAAGCGTAATGCTCGCATAATGATCCGGATCAATTCATTCGTAGGCAGGCGGATCTAAGGTTCGTCAGGTCCGGTGGCCGCGTGTTGACTTGGAGAGTGCCTGCCGCAAGCAGGGACGCGCTGCCCGCCGGATCGGCGCTGCGGCCTCGTGGGGAAGGCCGCCGCTCAACGAGGGAGAGCAGCATGTCCAAGGTGACGAAAGAGGTGATCGAGGAGGTGGGGGCGACCGCCCGCGAGGCGCTCGAGCAGGGCCGCAAGTTCGGCGAGGACCTGCAGGAGAAGGTGATCGAGCCGGTTCAGGAGAGCTACAGCGGCATGCGCGAGGCGCAGCGCGAGCGGGCCGGGGCCGAACGCGAGGCGCGGATCATGGAGCGCGCGGTGGAGATCAAGAAGGCCCACCCGAAGGTGCCCGGCCGCAAGGCTGTCGAGCATGCCCGCAACGAGGACGAGGCCGGCCTGCTCAAGCGGTGACGCACCGGCTTCGGTGCCGACCCGACAGCGTCGGACAGGCGGCGGGGCGGTGCGCCGCCGCCTGTTCCTCTCGCTGCAACCCGGATGAGGAGATCATGCGCAAACACCTCACGCGCGACTTCCCAGAGTCCTTCGCCAAGGCGCCGGCTCGGGAGGAGGAGACCTGTCCCCACTGCGGTGCGGTGCTGCGCACCCGCCATGCCCGCCGGCAGCATCTCACTCTCGAAGTCTGCCGGCGTCCGGCGCCGCGACCGCGGCCGGCCTGGAGCCCGGCCGTCCGTCCCGGCTCCGGGGGCGGGACGCAGGAGCCCGGCGACGGGGCGCCGGCGCGG